AAAACTCACATGCCTTCGTCTCAGATCGTAAGTACGTTTGTTTCGGTCATGAGTATTTCGGATGCGTTCAATTATTTTAGTACAAAGTTGTTGTTGTTGTTCCAACCGCTGTTCGACATCAATCGGTTCATTGTCAGTCAAGTCTGTCTCGAAGCTGTCCCCCCGAATACGAAATTCTTTCCCGAAATTAACACGATAGGGAGTGACTCCAGTGGTTTCGTGTTTAGAAGTTCTAAGGGCACAGGCAATCGAAGCTAAGTTGACATCCCAATGGCGGTGATTGTCCTTAATGTAGGTGGAAATTAATTGTTTCACCACCCTATTAACACGTTCCGCAGGATCGGCTTGTGGATGATAGAAGGGTGTGAAACGAACATTGACACGGTAGCGGTTACAAAGATTCAGAAAAAGTCGGCTGCGCATTTGCACGCCGTTGTCACAAATAAGATGTTGAGGCGCTCCGTACACGAGAAATACCGACTCCTCAATGCACTTAACAAGTGTTTGCGCATTCGCGGTCCTAACTGGAAAAAGAAGTACGAACTTGCTCAAATAGTCTGATACAACCAGAAGATGGGTGCGTCCCTGAGTTGATCGAGGTAAGGGACCAATAAAATCCAAACTAATCATCTGCCAAGGTTCATAGATCTTAGGGTGGGAACCCATTAAACCAGCAGGTCGCTGTTGTTCCGGTTTGTGTTCCGCACAGGTGGGACAACGTGAAACAAAACGTTTAACATCGCTAACCATTTTGGGCCAGTAATAACGATGATGGATACGCCAATAGGTTTTGTAAACCCCAAAATGTCCTGATGTAACATTGTCGTGGGATTCACGGATGATAGCAAGTCTAAAATCGGTAGGAACGACGAGTTTCCACTTCTCGAAGTCACGGCTATCTGAGGCAGAACGAATATATTTATATAAAAGAGAATTCCTCACATTCCATCCAGGGTATTTATGCGGCTCTTTTTCCAAACGATCGAACATACCACGATACCAACGATCAGTGCTACCACGAAAAGCTTCGGGGTTAATAATTTCCTCCGAGGTGTGAATAGCATCTATAATGGGTACGGTACGTGATAAGAGATCGGGTACCAAATTGTCTTTACCCTTGCGGTGTACGAGGGTAAAAGTATATGGCTGAAGGCGAAGTGCCCAACGTGCTAAACGCCCTTGGGGATCTTTAAGGGAATGCAGCCACAACAAAGAATGGTGGTCCGTGATCACGGTGAACTGAACCCCCTCGAGATAGTGTCTAAGTTGCTCCACCCCCCAAATGACGGCAAAGCACTCACGCTCAGTGGTGCTGTAATTGCGTTCAGCTGCAGACAAGGAACGAGACAAGTAACAAATAACTCGTTCTCCATCCGGGAAATTTTGAGTTAACACAGCGCCTAAACCGTAGGCCGAAGCGTCTGTCTGTAGAATGAAAGGTTTAGTAAAATCGGGGCAATTTAGAATTGGTGCAGTAGCTAAAAGTTCTTTAAGTTTCACGAAAGAGTTCTCGCAATCAGAGGTCCACTCGAAGGTGACGTTTTTCTTAAGAAGTCGAGTTAAAGGCGCCACGATTGTGGAGAAATCGGGAATGAAACGTCTGTACCAACTACAGGTTCCTAAAAATCGCCTAACTTCGTTAAGATTGGTAGGTGAAATGATATTTAGAATTGCTTTTACCTTATCAGAGTCGGGATGTAGTCCATATGCATCTACAACATAACCCAGATATTTTAACTCTGAGCGGCAAAAATGACACTTGTCTTTATTGAGTACGAATCCTGCAGCAGACAACTTGTTGAAAACGGTTTGCAAAATTCGCAGGTGCGAATCGAAGTCTTGGGAGACGATGATTACATCGTCCAAGTATACTAAGACGTTAGGCTGCAGTTCGGGTCCTAAAACCGTATCTATGATACGCTGAAAGGTAGCTGGTGCATTTGTCAAGCCAAAAGGCATTCGGCGGAATTGGAAGAGTCCACGACCAGGTACCGTAAAAGCGGTATATGGGCGAGAAGATTCCTCGACCTCCACTTGCCAATACGCCGACTTGATGTCAAGCGAACTAAGGTAGCGAGCGTCCCTCAACTGTTCTAATATGGTGGAGATATAGGGCAAAGGAAACGCGTCCTTTATAGTCAGGGCATTCAGCTTGCGGTAATCCACGCAAAAACGGTAAGTATTGTCCTTCTTCGGAATTAAACAGACCGGAGAAGCCCAAGGACTAGTGGATGGTTCGATGACATTATTCCTAAGCATCTCATCGATGATGACATTAAGAATTTTCTGTTTGACTGGGTTGACAGGGTAGTAGCGTTGTTTGAGGGGTTCGGCGCCCTCAACAAGGCGTATCTTGTGTTTACCCACCGAGGTTAATCCCAAATTCGCTCCCATGGCTTCAAAAGTTTGATCCAAAAGGGTAGTGAGTGACTGCTGCTGTTCGGCAGTAAGATGAGGTTGATCAATAATAGCTACTTGATGAGATGGTGGAGTCGTAGACGTGAAATGCCAGCAATCATCGTGAAGATTGGGTATTATACCGATTCTGTCCCAAAAGTCTATGCCGAGAATCAAATTCGTTGTTAGGTCAGGCATCACAAATAAATTCAATAAAATGGTGCGATCCTTTAAGGTGATGGGTGCCATGATGTAACCAATGGCTTGTGCGTTGGCTCCATTCGCAACGGTACATGAAGTGACTTGGGGTACGAATCGTAGCCGAAGTTGTTGCAATTTATCACAAAAGTCTTGGCTTATGTATGAACGTGAAGCGCCGGAATCCAACAGTCCAAGTAAAGAAATCTCCAAGATATTGATCATGACATAAGGTCTGGAATCATTAGTGACGTGTTGCAGTATGAAATCTAAAGCGGGTTTGAACGAAGTTTTTGGAATTTTGGTCGTCGGAAAACTCGAAACCTCGCGACAACCTAACGAGCGTTTCGTGGGCCGTTTCCCGAACAAAATGTACAGGATCGGACGGTGACACCGGTGGTTCCACACTTATAACAAAATAATTGTTTAGGTTCGGGGCAATCGACACGATTGTGACCCAAACGGTTGCAATTATAACATGGTGAATTTCGCGTTTCCGTAGAATAAATGGGAAATCGCTGGGGTGCTTGACGAGTACCAGTGGGACAACTAAATCCAGGTTCCAGCAGGGGCAATGAAGTGTTGTTTCGTAATGCCTCGTGTCGCGCTAAGTCCTGCTTAATGGCATCAAATCGACGGCATTCAGTTAAAAGTTCGTCGATTGTACTGTATCTCGTAGGTCCCAGTTTAGTTAAGTAAAACGGTAAAAGGTTTCGTCGAACTATGCGTACTTGGTCGCGTTCAAGTGGTGGATTTTTTAAACGGGCAAACAGTCCTTGCATGATTGCAAAATAGATATCTACTTTCTCAGTAGATCCTTGGATCCTAGCTTTAATCTCATCCAAAAGGTCTTCCTCATAATTGGATGGTAAAAATGTTTGTCGTAGAAGTTGGGTAAGGTGCTCCCATGAGGTAGCTCGATATGAATTTACATGGTACCAAGTCATTGCTATCCCTTCGAACAGGTCATAGGCAGACTCGAACAAGGTAGCGTGATCGACGCCACGAGCTCTAGCCATCCGCTCGACTTTATCCAAAAATGAATTAACAGTATCCCCCTTAGGCTCTCCAGAGAATTTAAGTCCCCATTTATGCACTGGTGTGCTATGTACTGATAATTTTGGAGGCATTTCAGCTATGCTGCGAGTAGGAGTCGAAGTTACTATCGGATGTGGTGCTGAAGGCAATATAGTGTCATTAAATCTAAAAGCTTTGTTGTCTAACGAGGCCCTAAGCTGTCTAAGAAACAGGGTTAATTCGCGAAGTTTGTCTACTTGGTCCGCGGTATTGGTCAATAATGTCTGCGTCCGGTGTAAGCGACGATCGGCATGCACTAGCATGGCTACTATGGATAAATAAGACCCTCCACCATAGGCGTCTTCAAAAGAATCAATTTTATTTTGTAAAGTGTTGGTCAACTCAGTGAGAGCAGCTAGATCCTCAGAAAAAGTAAAGGGGTAATCCGGAGCAACATAGCCCGGGATTTTCTCAGCTTCGAATAACTTACGAAGAACGGTTCGACTCTCACTAACGTTAACTCCGGGTTGACCTCCCCGAATCTGAATCTCATACTTGAGTTCAGCCTCTCTCAAACGGTTTATATCCATTGAATAATGATACCAATATATCTTATAATTAATGTCAAAATATTCCCAATATATATATAAATTATAATTGATCAAAGTCAAGTAAAGCAACAATTAAAAAAAATTAATTAGAGATAAGTGGAATGGAATCAGTTGCGCCAGTGAAAATTAAAACACATGTGATATGATAATTAACGCAGGCAAAGGCTCCACGTGCAGGGATGCCACTTTTATAACGGTGAATTTGCTCAAACCCGCCGCTAATCGGCCAACTAGCTCAGGGGTGACTATTAATCGGGGTAAGCTTGAGCACTCAAGGGTCATTAGGTATCGTTCGGGCTCTGCGGGCACTGGATTCCGTTCCTCTCATCTAATAATTAGGTATGCTAGAGCAAAGCAGTAAGGGCGCCACCTTATTACCTGGAATATTATACACTGACTGTTACCGGAATAAGGAAGTGTAACAGTAGCGGCACAACAATAATATAATCAGTGAGTACCTGACCACCCAAAAATCAAAAATTTATTCAGTAAGGTACACCAAATTCAAGAAAAAATCTTAACGCATGAATATGCACTACTAAAAATAATATACATTTACTAATCTCTTCCCCTAAATTGAATTCCCCCAAAAACTTTACTTAATTGAACATTAATCCCACAAATTAGTGAACGATAACTCGATCACACCCGACGGCATGAAACTTAACGTTATTAACCCCAAAACGAGGTGGCGAACACACAAGTATATAAAGAGAAGGTATTATTCTTACCTGGAGTTCCGAAGGCATTCGTGGAGTGAGCTCATCCCAGGAATGTTCAACCTAGTAGCTATAATAAAGAATAAAAGGACAAATTAACCGAGAATGCCTCGGTGAATCAAAAATGCTACAGTGAGGTACTTAACGGTGCCTGAGGGGCTTACCACTTGCGGTACTTCCCACGATCGTAATAGGACAAACCAATATTAAATCATGTCTCCGAAGGAGATCTCAAATGCAAAAACAATAATCAGAGCCAATTATGTCGGCATTAATCGAAAGATCGTTAACCAGAATTACGCTTACAGTTAAATTTAAAATAGTGAAAATTTCCCCAAAACTGGTCAGATAATTGATATAGGCTAAGTAATTATTTCGACGGTGATAAGCTCAGATATAGGTCATGTATTCTATCTCATGGTTCCAAACGGCTGATTACTGCTGAATGTGTATTCAGATGAAGGCATCTGTTGGTAATAATTCAAAATGGACGTCCCTCCGGTGACATATGTTAATGTGCAAATTTAAACGGGATACAAGGACCCTAAAAAGCGATTGTTTAAAACGGTGCATTGTAGTACGCATAACCCTCTTTACCTCTTATTAAAGAAGGTCTATTGGAAAGATTGACGTTGTATGATAATTAATAACGACCAGGAAGATACGGTCACTAAAAATGAACATTATAATGGCCGAGATATTAGTCCCGTATATCTACTTACATAGTTTCGCTGGTAATTCGTTTAAAAGCCTCTCAAAAGAGTTCACTACGATATTGATTAACCAAACAATCAATCCATAGTTTAATAAGATGATTCCGTGAAAGGTAATACTTCAATAGATGACGGAAACCAATCTTTTACGACATTACACCAGCGAACTAATATTCAACCGACACCTTTGCGTCTTCCCAAAACGAGCAACGAAAAGAAAGTAAGACACGCACGAATTTTCCTCGCCCCGCCAATCGCACAGGCACCAACGCCGAAACCCACAATCGTCAAAACCAACAATTGAAGGTTCCATCGCATTCTCCCCCGCCAGTGCCGTAACAAGGGAAATTCGTACTGACTAACTTAGAATAATTACAACGTTACAGGCGCCTTCATCGTGAGGGGAGATGATACCATTTTTTTCGGCTGATCTGTTTGTTGTTTTAATGTAATATCCGTTTCCGCCGCTCTTGGTAATGGTGTAACCCCTAAACGACCCCTTGGAGAATGGTTGACTTGGTTGCTGCCTCTTATTGAAGATTCAGGTTTCGTGATCTTTTCTTCCACTTCATTATTTAATGGACCTGCCTTTAGGTCCCGTATCAAATTTTCGGCTTCCATTGGACTCTCTAAATAGCTGCCGTTTCCGGGTCTGGTGTTGGTAGTTGTGGACAGTCCCATAATGCCCATGGCGATTGTAGCCCTTTAAAGGTTGGTGGCATGCTTTAGTAGGTTATTGGGCTGTATCGACCTATCTCTACTGCCAAATAATTTCTCTTATCGTCCAGCAGCACCCTGGATGAAATATACAGGTATTTGGCGTGCACTTGGGATATAATAGTTGAGTATTTTGTTGAATCGTGTGGAAAACTTTCCATCCTTATTTTCGTGACGACTTCTGGTTGTAGGCTTTTTATTATACATTGATTTTATCATTAATTTTTTCCCCAGTGCGCCAGCAAATATTTATTCACAAATAGACATATTATGTTGCAGTTTTGGGGTGGCGTAGCAAGATATATTTGGTGACATTACATACGAAACAGTGTAAATTCCTAATGATTGTGAAAGGAGCAACTTTTCGCACACGTTCAATTATCGTTGTTGTGCAAAAGAAAGTATCGATCCCCCACCCCCTTTCTGATGTGTAGGATTGTAGTAGATCTTAAGTAGTACAAAAAGGCAAGCAACAGTTTTTCTGAATCGTATGTTGCAATACCTTATGTTTATTATAAACTAGAATAATTCCCTTGCTTATTAACTCGAGCGATAACCCTCACTGATGACCACAATGGAGTGAAATGATAGAGGTTGTCGCCCGGCGATGTTTAAACAGTTTATTTACGTTTTTCTTCAAAATCACGCTGCAGTGCTGAGAATTGTTTTAAAACAAAAACAGTTCAATTGGTACTAAATATGATGACGGCGCACATATACAAACTTCCCCATTTTTCGCGACCTAGAAAAGATGAGTAATAAGGTATTCCCTTAAACGTTTCAAAAACACTTAAAGCCGCATACAAACGTTTTGCAACGACAGAAGAAAAAAAAAGAGAAATGAAGGATTCTTGTTTTGGCGTTTATCGGACAAAGAACAGAGCTGGGAAATCACAAGTAAAAACTTCTCTTGCGGTTCAGGTTTCCAACTTCAAACAGGTCACTTAATATTGATTGCAAGCAGGCAGTCTGTCTTCGGCTTAAACATTTACACCATAATAGCGCTTATCAATTTGTTTGTCGAATTGGTAGAGGTCAAGTCAATGTAATTCCCCGTCGTTTGCTATATAAGTTGCGTTTCGGCATTATTGACGTAGTCCAGATTAATAATACAATTGGAAATGAAGCTGCTGTTGTGTTTCGTCCTCGCCCTTGCACTTGGGGTAAGTGTTTGATTCTTTCACATACTTGAAGTACATCGCATAGTTTAGGTGCATTCAAGACCTCATCAGGATCGATCACATCACGCCAGTTTAGGACCTGAGCGCGAATGCATCGCAGAAGCAAACGTCGAAATGTCGAAAGTGATGCGGCATGTTCACACTGTGTCGGATGTAAACGATGAAGAAGTTGGCAGATACTTAGCTTGTGTTTGGAAGAAGAGACAGATGATAAATGACAATCGCAAAGTTAACGGTGAAAATATATTTAGGTACCTGAAAGATATCTACCACAAGGAAAACTTATCGGACAGCAATGAAGCTGAAATGCGCGATGCCAGCAAAGAATGTGCCAAGTTGGAAGATAACAGTGAGAAAGTGTTGGCGGTCAAGGTGAAAAATTGCATAATTGAAGCTGTCGCCAAGATGCCCTTCTTAACTCAACCCAAACCTCGTCCAAGCTCTTAAGAAACAAAAATTTGACTATCTACTGATGGTTTTTCCAATTGTTTGATTGTTTTTTGTGTGATTTTTTTATCTTTCTTGAATGTTTGGGAACATTCTTGATCAATCTGAGCCTAAATAAACTATACCATATAACCATTTGTTTTACAATTTTGAACCAACCCATGCTTTGACCCACGTCATTATTGTAAACCGTCACCAATTGTCGTTTTATTTAAGGGATTTATTTTTCATGTGATTTAATTAACTTTATTGCTCAAGTAAACCATTGATCCATTGATTTATCAGTGGCTGTGACAACCCAATATTACTTTGTAATCGGTATGGGGATAAAAAAAATACTTATGAAGGAAGGAAGAGGTCACCAAGACCGAAAGATCATTTAGACCCGTATCGAATAAGCCACAAACTCAACCCAGTTTTTTTTTCTTTGGTGTGAATATTTGGTTTGACGTGTATTTTGAATTGTAATAATTCGATTCGTCATCGGTGCTTTGACCAGTATCACTGCCACGTATATTTTGTTTCTTTTTAAATTCTTGTGATAATGGTCGTTCTCTTTAAATTATAATTGAAAGCTAGTGCCAGTTTTCTGATGACATCTTGAACTGCTGGATTCGTTACCCTTGTGAAATTTGAGTTCGGTTTGTCTTTTTTATGTATTTTCGTGGTATTTTTCTGTAATGCAGATGAGTATTTGTAATGCGAAATGTTGAAAAGACCGTTCCAAAAATTTTATCACATGGGTACATTCGAGAGTGTCAAATCCTAATCAAAATAAATTTTCGAATGCTTCCCATAATCATCTTAATAATTTATAAAATCTACATAACTTAATTAGTAAAAAACAATGTTGCTTACCAATTCAACAAATGTTTATTGGACTTGATATACATATTTATTGGCTCTAAATTCTAGGTAATACGCTGCCGTGGAAATGGTAGACCCATGGACAGAGGAAAAGAATTGGGAGAAAATAAAGAACCGGATTCCGAATGAATGCATATGGTAGAATCATATTTGCGAAGAGGGCAATATAAAGGGAAGGGCAAAAGGAGGTTTACTAAGAAGCGTAAAAAAGGGCCAAAGTCGCTAAGGCAACGGGGGGATGAAACGAAAGAGAGGGAAGGAATATAGGATGGATGTGTAGAAGTGGAGGGAAAGAAAATGACATTGATAACGTTATACAACCGAGAAGGATTTAAAAAATAAAATAGAAAATATACAAAAAATATAGTAAATAAAAGGGGAAGGGGGGGGGGAGAGGGGATTTTATTGTTAGAACAAGAATTAAAGGAAAATGGGTAGAGATAGGAAAAGAAACACAAGATGAACAATCAAGAGAACAGTGTAACAAAGAGGGAGAAGTGTTACAACCATTATCAGAAAAGAGAGGTTGGACAATTTTAAATGGAAATATAGAGGGAGAGAGGGACGAGTATTTCACATGCATGGGAGGAAGAGAGATGTGTTTAATTGTAATATTAAATGAAAAATACTGGAAGAACTAGACAATTTAAGGTAGGAACAAGGATAGAATCGAATAATCAATCGATGAAATTGAGTTTAAAAGATAAGAAGATCAAGAAATGAAAAGACGCAAATGCGAAGCAGATACAGTTATGAACAAGACATACGGTGGAGCTGTATAAAGGGGGACTGGAGCAATAAGGACAAAAGATAGGAACGAGTACAGAAGAGGAGTTGAATAATATAAAGAAGATTATTGAAAAAGCAATTACGTAGAAACAAATAACGGAATGAGCCGGTGAAGAAAAAAAGATGGAGAAACAGAAAGAATACAAAGAGCAAATCAGTGGAAAAAAATAGAAGATTTTTGGAAGATATTAAATAGAGGAAAAAAGAAAAATAGAACAAGTGGGATGGAAATACAATTAGAAGAATGGAAACAACATTTTATCAAGGTACTACAAGGAAAGCAGGAAAAAGGGGGCCATGCAAGAAGTAGGAAGGTTGAGGGAGAAGAGAAGAGGTCATGCAGCTAAGAAGACTGAAGAAAAGGAAAGCGGCAAATACGACAAGGTATTGTAAGGAGGGAGTTTACCCGACAAGGGAAGCAATAGGTGCCGATTTTCAAAAGAGGTAACAAATACTATGTATGTTGAAAATTTAGGCGAATTACGATAATGACGACGGGGCGCCGTATAGAATCTACGCAACGCTACTGAATGAAAGAAAGAGAAATAGAGGATGATGTTGGAGGAAGATGGGAAAATAGGCAGAACTTAAAGGATAGCATCAATACGGAGAAAAACGATTAAGGGTAATAATATAAGGGAAGTAGTATGAAGTGTTTTGAACATGTAAAGGACTAAGAAGGGATGCCTACTTAGCCTAACCTTATTTAATCTCAACATAAGAGGCAGGACCGACGTGTAGGGATCGTAGTGGGAATAAGAAAGATATGGTCTCTGACATATGCGGGCGACGCAGTGATAGTGGCAACAGAGGTTAAAAAATGAAGGATATGATGATGGGAAGAATGGAGAGATATTATAGAAGAGAAAGGAAAGGAGCCGCAGGACTGTAGGGTTCGAGTAAAGGAGTAAAAAAGAAAGTCAATGGGTAGCAGAATGCTTGACAACGAGGATAAACGTAAAAAGAATGTGGGAAGAACGAAGAGGAGAATATTATGAAATGAATGGATACGAACTGACTGATGTCGAAAAGACGAGAGGAGTAGGAGAAAATGAGCTGCTAAAAAGGGACCTGGAAGCACAAATACAACAACTTACAGGGGGTGAAGATAGAGAGCGTACGAGGAAGTAGTAGTTACAAAGATCTAATAAGGGAGTGGTTACTAAATTATCTATGGGACGGAATAAAAAGTAATAAATTAATAATGACGAGATTCAGATGTGGAAATGAGGAAAGAGGGAAAAAGAAGTTGTGACATGGGGAAGAAAGAAATGTAGAATATGCGGAGAGGAACAAGAGAAATTAGAACACGTTATGGAATTGCAAGGAAAGGACCGGGAGAAGCAGGAGTGAGGTGCTGGCAGAGGAAGAAAGAGGTGAGTAAGTGGATGAGGGGGATATTAAAGAAAAGAGAAGAAAAAATCCCATTTTAGTTTTCGCTATAATTTATATTGTAAAACGTTTGGCCATTTTGGCGTCTAGATTGATTAACAAATTTATGTTTATAGGATCAGTTGAACCCGTCCTGATTCGCAGGATAACAAAAGCTGTCCAGGTTAAAAGCATTCCGGACACCGGATAAATATATTTTGGTTGTATATTAAGCATTTAATGATTTCAATTCATATTTTTGTAATTTGTAAAACACGTGGTGAAAAACAAAAGTCGTATAGCCGAAACCTTCCCTATGGTTTCCTTCATTCATTTTTTACAGCAAAACAATTACTTTTTTATGGCATTTCTGTACACCTCCAGATCTGGATGAAAAGGAGAGGATAGGGGATACCCTTATTACTGCATCTACACTACATGGCTGTCTGAAAGTAAGGGATTGTTTGTCAGGTCCAGGATTAAAAGTTAAGTCCAGGCCCAGTGGCAAGAAGCAACTGGATTCAGACAGTACAGGGCCGTCTTAATCGGGCCAGATTATGAAGATCACCTCACGGAGCACTGGATGGTCAACTATCACCTGCAGAACGTTGGGATTGTAGGAGAGCTCGTATGCAGTTTTTGTGGCGAGGCAGATGAAACTACTGAGCATGTGATCTGTCACTGTGACTCCTTGATCAGAGACAGACATCAGCTCCTTGGCCACAGTTACCTGGAACCGGGGAGGGCGAAGCAACAGGCGCAATGAGCCTTTACTGTTCCCAAGTTCTGTCTGGTCGGGCTCGCCTTATAAATAGAATAGAATAACAGGGACTAGTTACGGTGGTGAGGTGGTGCAAAAGTTGTCTTTGCTAGTACATTAGCTTTTTCGTACCCTTCTACCCATACCAACCCTTTGGGCCAAAGGGCAGTGCTGTTCGATATTTTCTGTACTGGTTGGCTTCTAGCATACATGTGCTTCAACAGTAAGAAATTACTCTGAGATGTATACGGAATTTCGAAAAAGATAATTGTAGGATATTTAGCGAAATATTTTCAAATTGAAGGGAATGTACAACCCCTGGTACAACCTAAACTTTTAGTTGTACATACTTTTTTTTGTTGCACAACTCTAAACGACCAACCCGCTGTAGGTACAAAGGAATTTACAGTATCCAACTTTCGGAAAAGGGTATTAGTACGGAACTGACTGAAAATCATTCGAGAATTGAAAAGTTACGAAATTTTCCACATAAAGTGTGCAAACTTTGAAGACAAATTTTTTAATTAAGATTTTACCTAAAATGTTTGAAATTCTTTATGAAAATCTGAATTTGTGCTTCTACGTTTATACTATTCCGATTTCTAAAAAGAAAAATGTAGGTAGATAAAGGTGTAATCGGATGAGAGGATAAGAGGACATTTTAATTTATTGTTCGCAGAACTTTAGTCACAAACACGGCGCGTTCGCGATTGATTGTTTGCCTGTGTTAATTTCGAGCCGTTTTAAATTGTGTTTTGTGAGTGCTGAAGATGCAGGGCAGTCAGTACACAACGTAGGAGCCATCACAAAATAGAGAGCAAAGGTCTGGGGAAGCTTTTTCACTTTCACATAGCATTAAGCCTAAATGACAAGTAACACGTAACTTCATGTTTGAAAACAAAGCGAAGTAAAATCGTCAGCGTCAGCGCATCTTGTTCCATGTTGTATGAAAGAATGATAAGTAACGGGAGATCAAAAATGAGTCGCCTTTGAAAGTTAAGTATACGATTTCCAAAGGTCCTTGGACAGCAACTCATTTTTGATCGCATACTGTATAACTCGGGCAGGAATACTGAAAACAAGTTAGGTACTACATGATAATCTCTAAAAAGTACCTAAATAAACGTTTTAAGTTTCTCTTTAGACTGATTTAGTTTTGTCGATCGAACACAACTTTCAAACTCAAGTAACATCCTTGCAATAAGTTTAATCATCCCCCCGTATTTTTCGAGGGTTCGTTACACTCAGTCACAATTTCAAGTAAGGGCTGGAACTACCTATGCTGGGACCCATTTATTTTGGGCATGGGAATGGTTGGACTTTTTATGATGGACGCATGTTGATTTGCTTGTGCCTGTATTGCATTGTAATACAGGGTGGTTCGTGAGAACTGTTGGATGCTAACAATTTTAGATTTCGTATACTTACACCGAAATTCCCAAATATCTCAGGTTGAGAATATGCCGTTTATAACGGACATCCACACCAAATTTATTGTTTCATACAATTTTTAATATTGCTTTTCTTTGTTGTAGGTAAGTGGAAACATCAGGACTTTATATGCAAGTATAGGTTTGTACACTACATTTATAGTCAAATTTAAGATAACGCGTTAATTGTGATGTAAGTTAAGATGTCACTGCGTTTGAACCCGCCGCATGAGCGGCTACCTAGCTCAGAGGTGGCCATGAGATACTTCACAATCGGTCTTTCGGTAGGGGATAAAAATCTTCGTACGCTTTCCGATAATTGAGCGCCCCCCAGTGTCTTTAAATTGCTGTAGTTAGATTGATTACTAAAAGCGGAACAATAAATCTATAGAGAGGGCAAGCGAAATAATAATTTGCCGTGTCCCGCGCAAATACTACCAGTTGTAAAAATAGTTTTTCTTGGAATATACAATTCGCATCATTTGGTAGCATAACGTTTAATTGATTTAATAAGTGAAAAGTAAGCACATTTTCAAAAGCTTTTAGCCATTCATCTTTCGCGTAACAACACGTGTGCCAAGTTTAATTACTTTTGGTGCAGGGGGTGCGGAGTCAGGTGAACAAGAAATCGAACCTAAGCCCTTTTTTTAAAAAAGGTTCAAATTTTGTGTGTATTTTTTATTTTTAAATCATGTATACCTTTTTTAATCTTGTTTGAGTTTTTTTGAATCACTTGAATCTTTTTTTTAGTATCATCCCTGGTGTGCTATAGTTTTGAAAAGAGGATTTAGTATGCTATATCTGTTTATGTCTGTTTAGATTAAAACATATAGGGTGTACAATTTAAAATAAAATGAGGTTAGGTCCAATAACATTTTTACTTGATCTCGTATACTTATTTGGAAAATAGATAGTAGATTACGCAACAATCATTTGTAATAAATACATGCATTTCCAATCACTAACTAAATAAAAAAATGCATATGTGAAAATCAAAAGACTGTATAGGCCAGTTTAGTTTTGAG